CTAACTGTAGCGATGCTATAGTAGTATGCTACTTTATTATAGCGATTAATGTAGTGTCACTAAAATAAACCTAAAGTATCGAAATTCTACTTATAACGCGCTAGAAATATACGTTTAGAAATATGGTAAACTATAAAAATGTTTTATTTGCACAAATAGGTACAGCTGATTAAATTGTACTACATAGTACTGTAATAATAAAATTGCATTAGTCTACTTGTCTACTGTATGATATTTATTTCTAATTTTATATTATAAATAATAAATATTAAGTAAAATTATCGAGGAGACAAAACCCGTTCCAACAATAGCACTGATTATGAATAGTACAATATCCAATATACATAATATGTAGACGGTATATTATTATTTAATGAGTTGGTTTTTTTTTATTATCAATAGAATCATGCGATTTGACCTATGTAATATAAAATTAAATTAAGATACCAAATACCCGTTTTATTACTCGTGAGAGTTTGAATATAATAAAAGTTTTCTCCCAAGAAAGGCCAATAACACTGGTCAAGGGAACACGAAGCTAATATACAATGAAATACTCCCAAATGAGGAAAGAAACGTTTACTATTTAAGGTAAACAAATTAATGATAATAAACAATTTACTTTTAAGTTGAAGAAAAAATAATAATAATGACCTAGTGTATAGTATATTAGTATAAGTATATAATATTATTATAAGTTTTGTACTAAAAAGAAACATAATATTTTTTAAAGAGAATAATTGTGTGGACCTCTTGCAAGAGAAATAATATCGGTTGTTGATTTTAATAATAAGTCATAATTTACAAAGAGTAAGAGTTTTTTATTAATTGTTGTGAATATGTGAGTTATTTAATTTGATTGAATTTAATTTTTGAATAAATAGATTTTTACATTGACATTGATAATACTTTGATATTCTCTTTTGCAAGATTTTCACATGATGTAATTTTAATAAGAATAATGATATTTTTGTGTTTCATCTACCAAGAAAAATAATTGTTTATAAATTTATCATATAATAACATAAGACATAATAATAATCAATCCGCGGATTTAAGTTAACCATAGTAATAAATATAATATTATTAATCCGAAGATTTTTAACATAATAATATTAAGTTGAGCATGTGGTCTGGGGAAAAAACTGTAAGTTATCGCAGCAAAAGTACAAAATGAATCTAACATAGTTATGCAAGGGTGGAGATATGGGTCTAGAGAATAAGTAATAGGGGGGGGGGAATTACAAGGGGAAATATATAAAATCATACCAAAGGAAGAGACTGGTCGTTTGTAGTGTCCTGTTGTCTTGTCTTGTCCGCAGCTGTCCACCCACACCATCACTATCGAAACGCCACTGTCGCGGCCGCTTCCAAACCAGCACGAACACTGACAAGAGTATTACTGAAAATAATTACTGGATAACAAAAGTATACATGGGGGCGGGAATAAAAATAAAATTTAAAGTATGTGAGAATATAAGATTTTTCAAGTCCTTATAATCCACCCACGATGTCAGGGGAACACTGACATCGTGACCTACAAGCCGCACCGCGTGTTAGCCCTAAGGCCAAGTCAGTGGAACTTGTAGGCTTTGTTACACGCTGGGAAAGTGAATTCCACAGATTTATTTAAGGGGAGAAGAAAACACAATATTAATAAAATTAAATAAAAAAGAGAAGGTTGGGGTAATTATGGATCATTGTATTTTACATGGTCGCACAACGTGCAATAAATAATATTTGTAAATAATAATACTAATGATAATAATATGGCATTGGTGTGTTTAACACCTAACAACTGTTTGCCACATGGCAATTATAAAAGTATATTTTGGCATAGGGCAATTACATAAGATTGTATAATAATTTGGCACATGACATTTATAGGAAAATTATAATGTTTTGGACTGAGCGAACCCACAGATCGGCCCACGAGGTCTGGCGGAAAAGATATAATTTTGTACATTTTTACATGGCCAACCCTAGGGTCACGGCATATCGCGAAGGACGATAAGTACGGGAAGCAACAGAAAAAGAAATATGCCCTGCACAGGATCTAACGCATACCAAACACTCATATTAAAGTAAAAGAATAATATAACAAAAAGAGGGACATGGGGGGGGGGTATTTTGTACATTACACTTTTTGTTGACGACGAAACTGTTGAGGGTTGACCGATGGGCTGGCCAGATGGCAAGATGGCCGTCGACACACACGCGGTCGACGCGGCCCATCTGCATCGGTCACTGGTCCAGGACCGCTTCGCCCAACATCGGGCCCACGGTGGCGTACTAGCCCATCATGGCGTCGTTGACTTGACGTATTAAAAACAGGAACGTTGGCTTCGCCGGACGGAGTAGCTGGTCCGACCACGAGGTTTGACCGGGCAGCGAGACGTTGACGATTACACGAAAAAGAACAGCTGGTCCAGCCGGTGGTTGTAAAAAGAGTAATTCCGCTGTAGAGAGAGACCCGAAGACGGACGGCGATGGTGCCGAGCCGGCGACGGAGCTCTTTGTTGAAGTGGGGCAGGTCAGTGTCGTATCGTGACGGGAATTTTTACAATAATCGGGAATGTTCACAGTTTTTTTTGCTATGCCGTCGCAACACACCGCGCTCTGTCGGTCGATTGATACCGAACGCCGTGATAAAAACCACGTTATTTTACACTCACTTTTCTGTACACCGACACACCGTCGTGAATTTTTTTTACCATTTTATTTTTGACTGCGAGTATTTCTTTTTCGACCATTACAATCGATTTGTATTTTTAATACGTGTTTGTTTTTTTATTTCGTGTCGGTAACCTAAATCTAATTGACAATCCGTCAATTCCCAATCTTACCGAATATCTATAGATTATATTTTGTTTATCAGCAGCTACGCTCATATTTGCTCGAAAACAAGAGCGCACACAGACACAATAGTACCTACGATACACGTATTGTGTTCGACTCTCGTTGTTGTCACTTGTTGCTGTGTTCAATGCCATGTGTTTGCAGTCGTGTCAAGTCTATGATTATATTGAATAATTATTGATTGATATATTGATTATACGATCAAATTATTTTTTCGTCGTAAGAGACAAGTTTATAATATTATTATTGTGACTTATGCTCCAATCGCGACATAAATTTTTGTTCACCCGTACGTAAGCTCGAATCGCAGCAGGAAATATTTAGAAATTGTTGTACCTATTCAGGTTCGAATAGCTTTTACTAATAGGTATAGTGCTACCATTATTCGTGCAACGACTATTATCGGCTTGAGGTTAGTCATTTGAATATTTGTAGTATTTGTAACAACTCTAATAGTTGAGGTTTGATCTATTATTTACGAGTGTATTATTCAATGTGTTATAGGTTAGCGACAGCTGGCCAGTTTGCCCATCTACAAATCCGTGAGTTATTATTTATTATTATTATTATTTTAAGACCGTATCGAGCGATCACTGCTGAAAAACCCACATGTGCCATCACTTATATATTATCGTTTAACATAATTTCTGTTTTGCTACCTACATCTACTAAAATGTACTGACTAAGACTTAATTACTAAATTTTCTTACACATTACATAAATGTTTATGTATGTATAATTGTATTAAGAGGACCTCGCACAACATAGCAAAAACTGTTTTGCTAGGGAAAGAACCGAGAGAACTTGTGTTTTTTAAACTTTCATAACATTTTTTGAAATTCCGATATCAAAAAAATAAAAACGATATTGCCCAGTCAAAGTTCTCCTTTTTATGTGGTGAAAATGTTGGTCCTTAGTTATGACTTATGACTGTAGCCTTCTCGGTTCTTTCAAAACAGTTTTTGCTATGCTTTACGTATATAAGACAGAGACAAAATATGCGGTTGTGGGTATGACGTCCTCTTAACATAATATTATGCATGATACAACAACTTATATTATTATTTAGCTATCTATTTATTTATTTATTCACGCATACACAATAATTAGCACGATCAATCATTCCTACAATTATTATCATACATATACACATAGTACCTACACACGTACAAACCAAGCATTACACAGCTCATCAGTTTTACGCGGTGACACCCAAGTAAAATCACCAAGGTATAGGGTAGTCAGGTAACATTAGGCATTTCATCCAAACCATTATATACAGTCCAATCAAGTACATGTAAGCTAACTATTGTTAATCAGCGACCAGCCCCCGGATAAAACAATATCATTTAATTTAAACTTGACACATCCATTACAGTAACCCACACAACACATACAGTATAGCAGAGCGGTTCCCACTAGTCTACCTGTTTTATTCATTATTTTGAGCTTACATGTTTTATATATTTGTGGACGTTTAGGTAGTATGGTTATAAAAATGTGTTTTTTTTTTTTTTAACTTAAATATCCAATTTACATTATTACTATTTTAACTTCAACATATGAGCGAATGGCAAGATCATAATTTGCATGTCCAGTAACGCGTCATTAAACGTGGCTGTAAAACTCTAAAAAACAAATGAAATAACCTACCAATGAATAATATTAATGACTTAATGGGTTTTGTTGAATCGTAAATTTGAATTAATTTTTTTTTAAATTAAATATAAATTTTTAATTTTATTATAAGAAAACCTGATATTGATATTAGTATTGGTACTGGTTTGTTATAGCCCCGCCACGGCGAGTGAAAACTTTATAGCCCCGCCACTCAGGTTTGTTATCCCCCCGCCATTCATATATAATAATAATATAAAACAGTGATATAATTAAAAAAGTTTATTTATTGACAATATAATATATAATATTTAAAAAAATTAATATTAAAAAATTGAATATAATAATAATAATAAATATAAAAAAAATGATATAATTAAAAATGTTTATGCTTTATGTGATTCCCAAAATTCTGCTATATCTTTTAAAATGGTTTCAAACGGATCACTATTATTCAGTTTTGAACGCCACATAAATTCTGCCAAGTACGAGTCTAAAAAATTTCTATCCGTCCCTCTACGTTTTTAGTTGCCCCATTTGGCCGAACCCCACATTCTTTCAACATTTTGTGTGTGGGTTCCTGAGTTAGGGTCCACGAAATTATATTTATGATTGACTTGATTATGTTGAAAACCATGTTGTTGCAAATTAGCATAAGCTTTCCAACTGTCAGAAAAAATTATAGAACCATGTCTAATATATCGGTTAATAATAGGTATCAATGTAATTTCTGATCTATTTGGCACACTAACTATGAAACATTCCTTGGTTTCACGGCATATACCACCAAACACCCATTGTTGAGGTAATATACGCCCTGCATTATTTTTCCGGCGTACGAAAAGACTTTCATCTATTTCAACTATTAAGTTTGGACCACCTACTTGATTGTTATTGTTGCTTTCCATGCGCCAAACACAAACTTCTCGTAAGTAGTTGTTCCAATCGACTACCGCATTTTTTCCAATACCCAATTCACGTTTGCAATATGTCACTGAAGTAAGTTCATGAGCCCAAGAGTATATAAAATACACAATACTATTTATCGGCAATCTCGAACCGTTCAGCCAATTATTTACCCTAATACCTTTCTCTTTACGACAATCCCTTCGTTGACATCGCCACCTCGAACCTTTCAAAAACATTTCGTGGCCATTATCACATGTATTGGTCATTTCAATTATATTTTTGGGTATTCGTTTAGTATGTGACCTACAGAGTGAAAATCGAGTTTAGTATGTGACCTACCAAGACGATTATCTATATTATGTACGGGTACTGATCTATTAACAGGTAAGATGAATTTTTGAAATTTAAGTAAAATACAAAAAGTGTATTTCTAAAAATATAATTTAAATAAAATAAAACTTTTTTATAACAACATAATTTTATGAAATCTATTGAATAGTTTTGACATGCCTATTGCTGTTATAGGTACCTATGTGTCTTCATTCATTTTGTTTAACTCATTTTGACATTGTTAAATGTAATCCTGTATTATTTTATATTTGTATATTGTATTACTAATATATTAGTTAAATAATTATTAACATAATTTTATGATTTTTAATTTAACTGTTTTTAAATTAATTAATGGTCCTGTGGATCATATACTAAATGAATACCCAATACGGTAGGTCACGCGGTCTGGTAGGTCACATACTAAACGAATACCTATTTTTGGACTGGAGAAATTGAATTCCGGCATTTATATCGGGCACTTGTGTTAACAAATCTTTAAAATTCATGATGATGTCTGAAATGCGAACAAATACGTACTGTGATGTTTGATCGGTATAATATCAGTTTATTATATTATTATATTATTGATTATTTGTGATGTACACCTATGGTAGGCACCTAATAGTTATGGTACGTATTTTCCGTCTCATTATTTTATATTTATTATATTATCGCGGGGCGATAACAAACCTGAGTGGGGGGGCTAATAATAGTGATCTGTTTGAAACCATTTTTAAAGATATTATTATTATATATGAATGGCGGGGGGATAACAAACCTGAGTGGCGGGGCTATAAAGTTTTCACTCGCCTTGGCGGGGCTATAACAAACCAGTACCTTAGTATTAATTTCATAGAGGAATATTAATACATTTTATCGATTCTTAAAATTGACATTGAAATTGATTTCATGCACATTTTTTAGGCTCAAGTATTCCAAGTACCAGACCTAATTTATATACAATCGGCAATGCAAAATACAAATCAAATTCTGGAACCCATGCAATGTGAATCACCTAAATACGAGTATAAAAAGTCGTATTATGTGGAGATATTTCAAGCACTACAATCCTTACGCAAGTAAGTAGTAATAATGTTTTAAACTGCTAGATAAATATTAGTAAACCTTTATGTTTTTAGAGATGAGATGTTTTGTGATTTTAAACTAGAAACCGATGATGGTAAAATTATATGTGGTCATAAAGTGGTTTTAGCATCAGCTAGTCCATATTTCTATGCAATGTTTAAAAATTGTGAAGAAAAAAATCAATATCTTGCTATTATGAAACAGTTAGATTCAACCGCCTTACAGCTGGTGGTAAATTTCATTTATTCTGGGGAAATCATTGTCACTGATAATAATTTACAGGTAATAACTAATAATATAAGAAGTTTGATTTTATTATAGACAAAAAAATAATTTAAATTGTGTACCTAATGTTTATTTTTCAAGGTTTTGTTACAAACTTCAAATATCTTGGAGTTACAGGAAGTAAAAGAGGCATGTTGTGATTTTTTACAATCAATAATGTGTCTTAAAAACTGTATCGCTATAAATGCGTTAGCTGATTTACACAGCTGTACAAAATTGTTATCAAGTTCAGAATTATATATTCATCAACACTTTTCGTATGAAATATTATTTATTATTATGATTCTACAAGTCAATTTGATTTATTATTGTTATATTTTTATACTTAGAGACTTGGTAGAAGGAGCTGAATTCCTATCCTTATCATACGAACAAATGGTTAAGTTGATCTCCTGTGATGAGTTGAAAGTTCCATCTGAAGAAAAAGTAGGTTATTTTAGAATAATTGAATAATGGAAAGAAAAATGATTTAACCTACTTCCATATAATATATAGTATAATAATATTATATAGGATAATTAATTTATAATAATATTGATTGTTGTAGGTATTTGAATATGTAATTCGATGGGTAAAATATGATTTACGTTCCAGAAAATGTACCTTGCCCCAATTAATGGAACATGTACGCTTACCATTAATATCCAAAGACTACATATTAAAAAAAATAGTTGAGGAACCTCTTGTTAATAATTGTCTTAAATGTAAGTTTCTTCTATAAATAAAAGTTTTTTTGTGTCTAACTAATTTATATTTTATATATTTATATTTTTTTTAGCTAAAGATTACGTAGGTGAAGCTCTACATTTTCATTTACTTAAGTCATATGAGCTTGTCATCAATCCACATCCCATCCTGACTAAACCTAGAACACCTGGTGGCTCTCAAAAAGTATGAATCCGTTATAATTTATTTATCTTTCCAATATATTTAACATTTTAATTCAACAGGTTATTTTAGCGGTTGGTGGATTAAGGCATGGTCGAAATCTTGATAGTACAGAATGGTATGACCCAAAAATCAACCAATGGCAGCCTGGGCCACAAATGAATGCATCACGTTTTAGTGGTGGTCTAGCTGTAGTAAAAGATAATTTTGTGATTTATATGGGAGGTATAAATCTTGGATCAGCTCATCAATCTGTTTATTTGCTAGATTTATCTTCAAAATCGCCTTATTGGAAACCATCTGCTGACATGTTAGTTAAACGACGACATTTAGGAGTTGGCGTGATCAATAACTATCTATATGCCGTAAGTTATATTGAAATATTACTCATTAATTACTTAGTAAATTCTGTTATAAAGTAGATACCTAAAATGTATATAATAAATTCAAGGTTGGCGGTTCTGATGGTAATAGTTGTTTAAATAGTGTAGAAGTTTTTGACTACAGAACTCAAGAATGGCGTATGGTATCGAGTATGACTACTAGAAGAAGTAGTGCTGGGATCGGAGTACTGTATAATCTTTTATTTGCGGTAAGCTAATATTTTCTTTTATGATTTAAAATTTGTATTAGGTGCCTACTATTTGTCAAATGAAATCTGAATAAATAAATTCATCCAAATAAAATCATGGAATATATACCCAAAATAAAATATTTCAGTAATTTAACATAAAAATAATGTTCTTACTCAAATATTTGTTTAAATACCTATGTATCATGTATCAATGAAAATCATAGTGAGAAACTTATTTTTATGATTGGCCGACTAAATAAAAGTATTAAAAGTCTATTATATTTTTTATACAGTTTATACATAATAACAAATATCTTAATAATGTTATTACTACCTAATTAATATTATTAATTTAAGAATTGTTTGAAAATGATAATACAAAATTTATGAAAGTAAATTGAATTTCATTCAGTGTCAAGTTATATTCAACATATTTTTATCTTGATTTTTTAATTTTCATTAAATATTATTTATTCATACTTGATCAAGTATGATTTTTAATTTCTAATAATTGTTAAACATTTTAAATTTTAAATTTGCAAAATAAACTATTAATAAACAGTATATTATGTTAAAAAAACACAATGTATTTATTAAACGTTTCATAAATATGTATGCAATCACTTTCATTGAAAAATCAATTGAAATCGAAGTAACTTTTTCCTTAAGTTGTATTAATTCGGTTCACTATCGTGTAGGTAGGAGGTGTTGATGGCTTATCAAAGCGGAGATTAAACTCTGTTGAATGTTATCATCCCAGTCTTGATACATGGACGCCAGTCACAAAAATGAGTGTACGTCGCAGTTCTCTGGGTATTAGTGTTCTAGACGGTGTAATGTATGCTGTAGGTGGTAATGATGGATTCAAAGTTCACAAAAGTGTTGAGGCATACAGTCTAAGTACAGGAATTTGGACTTCTATTCCAGATATGCATTTATGTCGACAATTTCCAGGTAATTACTCTTTAAAGAATTCTAAATGATTTTATGAAATAATTTTTTTTTAAATATATCTACCTACTTATTTAATTAACATTAATTTTTCAATACCTGTAGGAGTTGCTGTATTAGATGGATTATTGTATGTTATTGGTGGAGATGACGGAACTTCTACTTTTGATTCTGTAGAATCTTACAACCCCAAGACTAAAACCTGGACCATGGTCACAACATCTTTGAATAATGCACGGACTGCAGCAGGAATTGTAGCGATTGAAAGGCCACGAAATTTTAAAACTTATTAGTATTCACAATTTTTTTAAAACCCATTTTCTTATATTGTATAATAGTATCTTTATTATTTTTCTATTTAATTTAGTCTGAAATTGTATTGTAATTTTTTTTGTTGTTTTTACATTAATTGTACGATTTTTGGTTGCTTTGTTAAAAGGGTTTTTGTATATATTCACCAATATCACGAATATTAGAAGATAATTTTATTGTCAAAAATATATAAAATATTTAATTTCTATAGCTAATGATTGAAAATGTAAAACAAGATTTCTCGTAAGTAGGTAGTTAGTACTGTATTCAAACAATTCAGAAATTTATACTTAAAAACAGTTTTTTTTAATAAATATTTTAAACCAAATTATCAAATTTGGATGAAAGTGGATATTTAAACAGATAATACTGGTCATAGTTGTTTTATTTTAATTTAAAAATATTTTTCTTATGGGCTGTTGAGACTTTTGAAGTAAATAATATACAAGTTGATTTTTTAAGGATGCTCATCCTATTTGTATGCTTAAATTACACATATATTCAAATTCTGTTTTTGGAAGTTTTAATTACACAAGGAGATTATACCGACTTGATATTTTTTGTACCACTTAATGATGATCATGTGATAATATAAACTTCTGTTTTTCAAATAAACCCTCTCCCTTTTAGATTCTGAGTGAAACGATGAATGTATTGATTTTACAATGATGTGTGTTTTTATATTTATTTTTTTATTTTTTATTTTTTTTGTGTCTGTGTACACGATAAGTAGTCGAAATAATGCTTCGATTTTCGACTTCAGTATCTTGTTCGATTGGAAAGTGAATATCGTTGGTGCATTGGGGAGGTCAAAATTTAAAATTCCCAGTACTTTTCAAAAGCGCCAAGAAAAACAAAAGAAAAATTAAGGAAAAACGGGAATTTTTACGCAAAATCGATTTTTCAGAAAATTGAATTTGGTTTTTGGTGTAACTTTAAAACAAATGACCGTAGATACATGAAATTTTCACTGGTTGTTTATATTTGCATCTTCTATACACGATAACATTTTCAAAATATTTTGATTTATTTTGAACAGTTTAGGGACATTTTCATTTTTCATTTTTTTTTAGTTTTTTTTCTAGAAATATCAATAAAATTTTATTTGTTGGTTGCGAAAAGTTGAAAATTTAATAGAAGGCTCCTAGTATATTGTTTCAAAGGCAGATGAAAAATATTAAAAATCGTTAGTCACAGTTTTTTTTTATAAGCATTTAAAGTTCAAATATTGACAAAATATGGAAAAATCACGAAAATTAGCAAATTATTTTGAGTTAAGAATTCGTAAAAATTTTTCTTTTTGAATCTAAGATTTGAAAATGTAATACAAGATTACTCATAAGTTTTTCTACCTGTATCAATAAAAAAATCTCTACCGGACAGTTAAATTAAATTTTTATGAGCGTTTGAAATTCAAATTTTTACAACATTGGATATTCACTCGATTTCTCATGTAGCGATTTCCTTATTTTGTTGTTATTCATAAACGAATAACTATAGATACATGAAAATTTCACTGAATGTTTATATTAGCATTTCCTATACACCATACGATTTTGAAAATATTTTGACTCTTTTTGACCTGTTTACGGACATTTTCATTTTTCAATTTTTTTAGTTTTTTTTTCTATGAATATCAATAAAGTTTTATCTGTTGGGCCAAAAAGTGTAAAAATTTAAGACAAGGCTCCTGATATATTGTTACAATATCAGTTGAAAAATATTAAAAATACATTGGCACAATTTTTTTTATAAGCATTTAAACATCGAATTTTGACAGAATTTTTCAAAATCTCGAAAATTATTAATCATCGTAATTAATAAATTATAAAATTTTCAGTTTTTATAGCTAAGGATTGAAAATTTAAAACAAGATTCCACGTAAGTAGTTAATTCTCTTACCGAAAAATCTAAAAATATACAATCACAGTTTATTTTTATAGTCATTTTATGTTCAAATTTGGACGAAATTACATATTAAAAAACCTAGTTATTTTGTTGTTATTATATAATATTATTCGTGGGTACCTACTTGAAACTTTTAAAGTGGACTATTATATATCTATGATAGTATCAGGGTTTGTTATTGATGTTGATGTATAAGTTATACAGTATAACGTGTTATAAGTACCTAATGGATATTGTGATAATGTGATATGATTAATTTGGAATTTATTATAGGTCAATTTTTTTTTTAATACCATAGATATGTATATAATTTGTATTAAACCTAGACTGACATACCGTCTTCGCTCAGAATCGTTTTTCTTATACAATGATATTGTATCATTGAATTCAAATTTAATAGCATCCATTATACAGTGACCCACTTGTAACCTACTGTACAGCAGAGCGACATCCACTTACCCACCTTTTTTTATTTTTTATTATTCAGCTGATATGTTTTTGAGAATTTTGATGTATCTAAATCAAAGTTCGAACGATTAGTTTTTGAGTTGTATCACTTAGTGAATTAAGGATAATATGCCTATGTTATAGGGTTAAGTAGATTTGAAAATTGTAGTTATTACTATTGGTCTATCAATATAAATAATTTGTAAAAATGATCCAAGTATAATGAATACTACATTTAATATTACATAATATAGGCTGTAGCTTATAGTATTGTACAATCATATTTAAGAGGACGCTACATCCGCATGTGTTGTATCTATCTTACAAACTCGTAACATACCAAATTTATGCTAAAATATTCAAGTTGTATGCCGTTAACTTAAAAATTAAGATTAAATCAACCTATTATGAAACTTGAGTATAAGAATATTATCTGTGTTTTGTTGGAAGTTTTTTTTAGTTCAGTTTTTAAGTGAGTGAGTTGTGCGTGTATAATAAATGTAAATTAAAAATGGTCATAACTCACTTAAAAACTGAATTATCATAAAAAAAACGTCCAAAAAAAACACAGATAATGTTCTTACCATCAAGTTTCATAATAGATCGATTCACTCTAATTTTTAAGCTAACAGCATAAAACTTGAATTTCTGGGCATAAATTTGGTATATTGAGCGTTTGTAAGACGGAGACCACACATATGGGTATGGCGTCCTCTTAAGGATTATTATCCTTAGTACAAACATTTTATTAACTCAAAAACTACCTATTAGAATTTAGATACATCAACGTTTTCAAGAAAATTACCTTCTAAATAATTTGAAGTAAAAGGGGAGGTTCTTATTTAAAAAATAAATGTTTGTATTGCCACTGGACATTCCTTAAGTAGTACAAAAAATATCAGGAATTTGAAAATATGGTATTTAGGTATACTTAAAATTCTAATATAAGAATTTAAATAAATGGAATTAAGGATATTAATGAGGGTGAGCATGTTTTTAAAAAAAACTCTGCATATTTTATTCCCACAATGACATTTTTGAAGAAATGTTTTTGCAAAAATTTTGTTCAACCCACAGTCTTTCTTAGGTATAGTAAATTGTAATATAAATTACTTTCATAGCAATAATATCATAAAATATTCTGAGTAGTAGACTTACAGTCTTTGCTCAATATTGTTTTTCGTAAACAATGATTTTATATGATTTACATTCATATTTAACACAATAATCATTACAGTGACCCACTCAACACCTACTGCAGAACAGACCTGTTTCCCACATTTTTATATTTAATAATGAATTTATTTGGAATAAAAAGTGATGATAACTATATTAGTATAGGATTAACCTAATATGAAACTATTTTATACTATTTTTATAAATTGAATATTTACGCAATGTTTTTTTTTTAAATTATTCTATTGTAATATAGTTCCTAGACATTAAGATAGACATTTATTCATCTTTGATACTCATGATAATAATAAACATGAAATTACATTTTTGGAGACTGGAGTTAATACTTATAAATTAGGCCAATGATGTACATATTAAAATAATAATATCAACACTGTAAACTGTGAAAAATACTGTAAACATTATCTATTATTGTATTAGTTATTACTAGTTAATACTTAATATACAGAATAATATTAATACTATAATTATCTACCTAATAAGTAATATCTCAGTCTGGGGACTAGAATTACCTACTTATAAACCTGAAAATATGTATTCACTTATGCACTAAAAAGACAAGAAATAGGCTCTAAAAAAATGTATAATATTGTGACTTTTGGTACTTAAATTATACAATTAATGTGAAAACAAAAATATAAAAAGAAAGTTTGATTATTTACTTTATAAAAAAATTTAAAATTTACCAATTATCAATTAACATTACCTGCTAGGTGTATATTATGTTGCAGTGTTATTGCCTATTGGCCAGATAAGCTGCGATTAGTGTAGTACTGTTTTTAAATATTCAATTTTCCGAATGTATACACAATATGCTCTTACTCTGTCAATGACCAACATTTTATACTTAACATTTTTCAAAATATTTGTCCAAACTAACTTTATTAAATCGAAAACTGGCAAAATAGGTTCTTATTTTTTCTAATATGCTCAAATATGCATTTATATCTATATTTCAATTAACAATAAATTAAACAAATTTTCCTATATTTTCAAAGAAGCTAGATATCTATTTAATAATTCCTATAAAAAGAATTATATATTTAACTTAATTCAATCTTTTTATTCATATGGTATATCTCTTTGGGGAGAAACTTTGAATAATCATTTAAATAAACTTAATATTAATATAAATTGTATCATACAATTTTTATTAAATCTACCTACTTTAACTAGTACAGCAATAACAACTGAATGTGAAAAATATGAAATTTATTCATAATTTCTCTGTTTAAATCCAACTATATAAATATAAAGACTTAGTTCCTATTTTTGATCACGAACAAGACTAGATTTAAACAATATACGTTTACTAAATTTTGTAAGAGCTTATGGACAAAATAGTGTATTTTATATAGGTCTGAAATTATGTTTAACTTTTAATATTGTAATATGTATAATTTTAGTAATTTAATGCTTTTTAAGAAAC